TCGCCACTGTGACAAAGGCTGGACGCTCGGCCGGAGGAAAAAGGTGAAAAAAAATGTGGCGGAGAGGAAAAAGAGTCGCGACGAGGTCGGGTGTCGGCTTGCTTGATAAAAAAAGAGGTGAAAAGACGAAAAGAGCGGACGACAGGCTAGGTTACGCTCTCGCCGATTGTCCAACTTAATCGCCGTCAATCCAATATCGCGCAGTATGCGATGAGATTCGCGTCATCGTCGTCGGCCATACGGACGACCTTTGATGAAGAACTTTAATCCGACGGGGGATCCACGCACGGCGTTCTCGAGCGGACGTAATCTCGTTTACGACGTATTACGATTGGATCGATGTCCGATTGTGTTCGTTGAAGATAAACGACGCGAACCGGTCGCTCCCAGCTGACAAGCATATGTGCTTCAATTAAAAGCGAGCGATTTTCCGGAATTTCGATCATAGCCCGTTTATATAGAATAGCGTTTATCGAGAAGTCCTGAGAATTCGGCCCGTCGAAGCTATTGTTACGGTAACGATGCATTGTGCCGGGAGAAGTGCAATTGTAATACTTCCTAAGCCGAACATCTTTTTCTTGCGAACAAGTAAGCTGTTAGAGTTCGCGTTTTACAGCGAGTTTTTTTACGTATGATATAAATTGAATTTATAGCGTGAAATTTCGTTTTTTCCGATCCGCGTAATCTCGAAACGAGCGAATATCAATGGAAGATAAAACCAAACTAACCGGCAAAGTATAAATTGCATGGTTGGGAGAGATAGAGAATTTGTGAAAAGAGATTCCGAAAATTCCACGCGCAGAAATGTCAGCCCGATTTTGTTGAATAGGCGTTTTGTCGTGGGCGTCCGATGGCGTGAGAGCCGTTAAGCCGTAGGTTAAAAAGCATTTACCGGCAATCTCGTGACAATGCAACCGGCATTTCCGATTCTATCCGGAACCCTTTATGTACGAACGCCAGGCTTTCGTTTACCGAGCGAACCAGGGAAGAATCGCGCGTGTATCGCGATAGAATCGCGATCGTGGCAGGCGTCGTCGTTTAACTATGCAGGTTGGAAATTGAGAGAAATAATGCTTCTACGGTACTTTTCCGTTCTCTTCCATTTCCACCACAGTGGTAAAGTACTACTTATTCATATAGAAAGCATTTCCGCGGTGTTCCATGCGACCCTCGTTACGGCGCCGACTCGTCGACTCGAAGCTCTTCCCAAATCCGGCGGAAATTAGGAGGTACGAGTGCCAGTCTCTCGCGTCGGTACTTGGTGAACTAATTATATCGCCAAAATTCTCTCGCGGACTCGAATCGAGCGTCCTTCGGCAAGGGAGATCTTCGCGGCACGGCCAAATTTGTTTTCTGCTCGCGACAAGACAACTCGCAATGAATTATCGGGATCCTATCCTAAAGTGCTTGGGAAAGAAATTTATCTACGTTGTCTCGCGTTGGTTATTTACGCTACACAGGGGAGCTTTTCAATCGAGTCTTGCACATCTTTTTCTTCTTTTTACACGATCACAAAGGTAAATAAATCGGTGCGAAAAAATCATCGTCAAATGTAATTTAAACCGAGATCTTTTAATTTTGAAGCGGTAATAATGTTCTTGAAGTATTAATAATTATGGATAAAATAAAGCGAAAAACCTTGCTTGATGTTTATTTCAGATATCTTTTACTCTATCTTTACGACTTTTACAGCTTTTACGAGGTCCTTTTTTAAGATCCTTTCTTAATATTTCAATTAGTAACTTCTAGAGATATGCGAATCAAGCATCTGCGTGGTCGAATCGAATCGCATCACTTGAATTCGAATCAGATTCTCCGGGACTGATTTGAATATGATAAAATATTTTCAATAATATTAAAAAACTTTTCTTTATGAGCAAAAATATTAATCACTACGTAGTTTTGAGAAAATTTCACACCAGCTACAAGGAAATACTATGCTGAGTGCTAGAAAATTTATAATCGATATTAAACAAAGAGTATTCAGAGCTTGTAAGCTGATATATATATCAGTTTACAAGCTCTGAATACTCTTTGTTTAGTATATATATATAATCATATTTTAAAAGTTGGTAGATATCTACACAATATGTCTAAAAAATTATGGAATTAATTATTTTTAATTTGTTGTATAAGCTATGTATTTTTTAGTAGCATTTTCAACGTCCACCTTACAAAATAATATCTATACTTTACAATCAGAATCACACCAAATTATTTTTAATAAAAGAACTCTTACACATACAATTTTGTTAACAATAAAAAATAACTTTGAGGAACTAGTTTTTAATTTCAATAACTTATTCGTTTACCATTCTCCGGTATAAATAAAGCAATCTAAAGACGCGACTAATTTGCAATCGAACCGTCGATGATTTGAAATTATAAAACTATTTGAATTCGAACCTTTTAGATTTGAAAACGAACTTAAATCGAATCAACAGTAACTTGAAAATCTGATTTGAATTCGAATAATTTGCACATTTCTAATGACTCCCTATTAAGTCAAAATTTAATAAATAATAATAAAATAAAATAATAAAAAATGGCAAATTTTTTTGTACTGACGCAATAGAAGATCTTAACACATTCACAGCCGCCGCTTTTGAGGCGAAACCCTTAGCTGAGTACTGCATACAATTTTCAAAAATCTCAGCTAAACATTTTGAAATGACGTAAGACTACATTACCGGCATTCAGCTAAAGAATCTAAAATGACGTAGGACTACGTTACCGGTTGCGAATGTGTTAATTGCGCTTTTGTTTTCTAAAAAAAATTACGAACGTCCTACTTTTATACATCATTACTACTTGAACTAACGCCATATGCGTTGATATAAAAATTTATATATTTAAGGATTAAACGACCTTAATTACGCGGCGGTCTCGACGGGCCGGTACTTTTACCCGCGCGTCACAAACATGGCTTTGTGCGATCAAAATACGGCTTCCAGAAGGAAGATTATCCCTCAGTCCGATGCACGAGCGATGACACGACCGACGCCCGGCTTACGATCCACCGATAGATTTCCTCTGTGAAAAGGAACGTCGCAAAGGTGAGAACGGACGTGAGAAGGGGGGTGTAAGGATCGTCGAGTACATCCACCCTCTCTCAGGGCTGCGACTGACGTTGATGGCGGCCTTGAAGAGCCTAAACGCTCAGCTAATCACGTAATGGCGCGTAACGATGCGAACGAAACACGCCGGTGTTCCAATTTGGAGAAAACGTATGGCCGCCCATCGTCACACGCGCGGAAGCCGACAACGGGAAATCCTTTTCGATATACTAATGGCACCATTCGAGAAGGAAATTGATTCCTAAACATGAGAATACGCGCCCCTCGTAATGATGCGCCGCAATTGTATATCGCCGAAATTCCACCGATACATCCACGGACATTATCATCGGTTTTTCGTATCGCACGATCGTTATTAAAAATAGAATTAGATTATTCTCGAAAAATTTCTCCATGGTGTTAATATCTTCGATTTTACGTTTGAACCGTTCGGCTTGGGTTGCATTTCGTATTACGCGGTGTAAGATGTCGCAATTTAGCTGCCAAACTATCACTCACTTGTCCCTCGCGTCTCTTCAGATTTGGAAAACGGTAGATCGTAATTGATGCTTACGGTACTTTGAGTGTTAGTTCAAAGTTTCGAGGAAACTTCGCGTGAAGTGTATTCGCGTATTACGTGCGATCGATTATGCAGGTCATACACGTGCTCTCACGTGCCTCGTGGTTATTTTAAGTTCAATTTTTAATTGGCTCGGTTTATGCTCTGCACACTTAACATTTCTTCAAAGGTTTTATGAAGCAATTACACGTTCTTAGTAAATAGGATATTTAATTTTGTCTTTTCCAAGTATTTTCGTGCAAAGTGTGTATAATTCATCGTTGATATCATAACATAAATTAAAGAAGTGATATTGCTTGCGTTGTTATATCGCATTATATTTCCTCCTTCTTTTTTTTATCTAGGTGACTTCCACGAAAAAATTAATCAGCCAGTGAATGTGCTTATTTAATTGTCAATTTATTTCATTTCAATGATATTAATTTCAATAATTTAAGTGTCAGCTTATTTAATTTCAATGATATTATTTATCGAGGTAGTTCCTTAATTAACTTGAAAGATTGGTAGGGCTAAGAGAACGTTCGATCTATCATCCTTATATACTCATTCCTATCGCATTTCATATTTCTCGTATGAAGCTTTATTATAATTAAATTAATGACCGCACCACGTAATCTAACGGTCGATAATGCATGAAACAAGTGGGAAGGATGAAGATATCCGAATAACTATGAAGTTTATCCCTTGCGCCTGATACCTGTACAAAGCTGAAATTACACGATTCGATTTAACAAGCTTGGAAAATTACGAACAGCATGGGTATTTGTAATTTTTAACCAAATATAGAAAGTATTATGATTCCTTTAAGAGCAAAGTAAGGATGTTTTAGCGCCATTGAAATATTAATATTACCTTCATTAATATTAATATGTTAGAACATACATGCTTTGCTTTTAAAGGTTCGTAATACTTTCTATATTGGGTTAAAACCAAAGGAGTATCTTTACTATCGTTTGTAATTTTTATCTAAAGGAAAAGAACGTACTATCGTATATTCTCATTATAATTATAATGACATGGAAACACTATGGTCATTCGTCTGTGTATTACGGAAAAAAAATGTTCAGAATAACATAAGTCATCAATCAAGTGTAGCTCGTCATATTTAACTTCGGATCGGCTCGTTTAATTGTTGGAAAATTCGACTGAAAAGAAAATTCGCCGAGGAAGCATGCGCAAAGAAAAATCGCGATTTCAGCCAGCGCGACGAATGAAAATCACACCATTTTCGGTTCGGTCGTATAACATCGTGTTGAATACCGTACGTGCAAGATGGTCGACCATCCGGCGTCTTGCAGCCGCACGACGGTGTTTCTCTACAGTGGCCCGTTCAGATCGAGACGGTAACTGCGACGACGACGTACCTTATGAACATGTATATGCCCGTAGGCTCCAACGCCCTGGCGACCGCTTTCCAGCTGGCGATAACCGTAAATTTTTGCCGGGCTGTGAGCGGAAGTCGAGGATCCGTGGCGGCCGGCGGCGGCGGTGGCGACGAGCCATCGTTTCCGGCTTGATTGCGCGATTTCGAAGTGGCCAGTTTACTCAATTCGCAACCCATGTTGCGGCGAGAGACCCGCGGCCGCGAGACTCCCTGCGTCGCGGAAGACACTACCGGAGGCGAGCCACGAGGACGAAACGGAATCACCAGCTCGCGCCTCGAAACCCGAAGATCGCGCGGCGGCGGTACAATTCCGGTGTCGCTTCCGGTTCCTGCCGCTTCCTCTCGAAATTCACGGGGCGCATCGGCGAGAAACGGAATCGCACTCTCTGCACACTCCACGAGAACGATGTATATGTATGTGTATGTATGTATGTATGTATATACGTATACGTATATACGTGTGTGTATGTGCCGCGAATTCGCTGGTAGAGATGAAACGACGACGAAGACTAGAGTTCTTTCAAAATCGGCAGTAAGAAAAACTTTTTGGACTAACGCGCTATCCGTTATTCCTCATCCCTTGCGACATCCTCGCGCCTTTACTTTTTCTCTTCTCTATATTTTTTGTTTCCCCTTTAAGTATCCCTGAACACAATGCACGTGGTGAAACTCGAGGAATTCGCGTGTATCTTCGGATATAAAGTTCGTCGCGTCGTTCGTGCCGAGCCGTCGATCGTTTCGACGCGGTCGCTAATAGGAAGTGATGGTCGAAACGCACCTTTTAACACCCGCGCGAACACTTGGTGTGGTCGTTCCGGCCGAGAAGGCGAGGGTTCACCATACGTGGTACTTCTTGAGCGCGCGTGATCACACGATCTCCACGAAGAAGCACGTGCGCTCTAAAGCAGCAGGCCGGTCGTTTCGAGGCTGGTCACCCGTGAACGATCGTCCGCCATCGTTAGCACGAAGACGATAAGCAACAGTGAACTTCACCGGCAACTTCTTCCCCGCTTGTACGGATTTTATCGTGTAGCCGGTTATACCCGCTTCGCATGCCCATTCGTTTAGCCCTTCTTGCAAATTAAAAGGACGCACGATGATTCCGAGACTACGCGCAGCGTTAATCCATCTCCTCTATTCATCTCCCGTTCGAGCTCGCCTCTACTCGTCCTTTTCCATCCCTTAAGCTTCGCTTAGCGTCGTCGCTCTTTCCTACGGTGTTCGCGCCGAGCTTGCCGTTCCGCGGGTTCATCTATCTAGCTTTCTCCGCGCTCATTTATCCTTCAGCATCGATCTCACCGCCGCCGAATCTTCCCTTTTCGCCGGCATCTCCACACTTCGTCACTTCCGCTTCGAAATTTCCCACCATTTCGCGTGTGATTTCTCTACCTTTATCGCCTGTCTTTATATATATATATATATATATATATGTTGTATGTGTGTGTGTGTATATATATTAGTTCGTCTTTCTTATTTTCTCCAAGGATACCTCTGTAATTGCCTTCCCGACAATATCGTCCAATTTTCCTTATCTAACGGCTTTTCTCTATCCGTCCTTTTGCACGGATCTCTGTTTCCGACGTGCAGGCTACCTTCGTATCCTCGGGCTTCGCTGGTATTTATCAGTTTCCTATTGTTAAATCTTCTTTGCTTCTCGCTGCGGGTTGGATCGGCTTTCTATCGCACATTTCATTTACTCGCATTTCCTCTCTCTCTTTAGCTCTCTATCTTGCTCACTCTTCTCCGTTTTCCCTGTCCTCCTTAACGAGATGCGTATGTATTTATTGAAAATGTTCCAAGTTAAGTCCTTTCATTGCTTCGTAATAGCAGATCCATTTTTCGTCCTCGCAATGTCGTCAGATCCGCTAAAACACGGTAAATTTTAGCACCACGCTTTTCGCGCATCTGCACCCCTATCTATCGTCGCTTGTTATCCGATCTATTCGAAACGCGAATTTAAAACGCGTAAGATTTGCTACGTCGGCTCGATAAACGGCTCGAACAGTCATTCCTCCTTAATCACCCTCGAATTCCTCGATCTCCGGGACATTAATTGAGAATTAACGCCCTAATGATACATTTATCGAGCGAGACGATCGATCGATCTGATCCGCGGCAGAAAACACCGAGGCGCCAGCGAGTGACAGATCGAGAGGAAGTCGAAGACGCGTGGGATACCATTTAGGACGTCGTTGAATCGACGTGAGGCAGTTTATGAGGTGACAAATGAAGCTCTTAGGTTGCCATTAACGTTGATATGAGCGAACACGCTAAACGCAAAGATAGGAGAACATTGTAATTTTCCGTCTTACTGGTTGTATGAGCATTTGAACGGCGGGCGTGATGTATCTTGTATAATTTCTTATTCTTCTTTCTTATTACTCGTTACTTTGATAAAGCACAACAAGGCAAAAGTTACCGCGCAATCTTAATAGCGAAGTGACATTATATTTGCAAATAAGAAAGCATCGAATGTATTTAACACGTTAACGTGGAGTTACATCGTAGCGGAGTTTTATTATTGGACATCGTCTCTCTCTCTCTCTCTCTCTCTCTCCTCACTGGATCTCGCGCGATAAATGGCCGATTTCTTATTATCCGACGTCGGTTCGATTGTCAGAAAGTTTCCCAAAGTTTCGCCGTTAGTGCAACACACAATAGCGCCGAGTAACGTGACGCTTCAATTTGTGTAATGGCGGTATCAAATCGGATCAGTTCGGCGCAAAGGGAGGAGGCAGAAATCCCGGCCGACAAATCTTGCCGGAGCTCGACGCGGCGGAGCGTCGTCGTGCGGATGAAGAAACGAAAGAATCGAATGCGGCGAAGCGGAATTCCGACGACATTGATGGAGGGCTTTCGCAGATCTGGAACACGCGGACCGGACTCGTCTCGTTCGTGCCGGTGCCTCTTCGAATTCGAAGGAAAGCGTGTCGAGAAACGTGTGCACGATTGATAACTCGCAGGTGACGGAGGAAGGTAAGCTGCGGAGCGAGCGAGCGAAAGCGTCGATAAGTAGATGAGAGCGTTATAAGGCGGCCGGGAGGCGCGTACTCGACAAGGGTAGAATCCGCCCCCGCGCGTAGTCCCATCGGGGCCGTACAACGTTAACTTTACGTTCCGAGCTGTCGGGGAAACGCCGAGCGCGACGTTGATAAGCATCGCCAGCGAAGTCGAGCGGAAGTACGCATAAAAAGCGCGGCGGAATAACACGGATAACTTAGATGGCTTTTCAAGTTTCCGATGCAAAAAGTGCAAGCGCGTCTCGCCGATGCGAAAAAGTCAGTCGGAGGCAAGGCGGCATCGGCGCTAACGATATTCGACTTTTGCAATCGGGTGTCTGCTCTTCGGAGATGTCTCCCTCTGACACTGATAGCAACATAATCTCCCTGTGGAAAATCTCTATTAATAATTTCGACAGTCCAAGCGTTGGCCATCCAGATTATTACGGCACCTCGCGAATTAATGCGATAAGAGGATTACAGGAGGTGACGATAAATGCGCGGTGCGAAGAATAAGGATTCGACCATGAACATCATTGCGGCCTGAAAAGCCCGGAAATTCCGATTGACTCGCGACTGATTCAACTTGCATGTTTTCCAATCAATTTACGTAATTTATACCAACAGACTGCGGCCGCCCTTTCGTGCGGAACACAATTATTACGAACGTATGCACGTATTTGTTTAAAGCGGAATCACTTGCGGTACACATTGAAAGGACATCCCCGTAACGTACGCGCCAATTTCGTAAATGGCGTATCGTCCGACTAACGGCGATGCGAGAGAGAGAGAGAGAGAGAGAAGCAGCGGTCGATCTCGGCAGCCTTGAACGCATTTATAGCCGAATCGAGAGAAGAACAAACAAACGCGCCACTGCCGAAAGGTAAACAGCTTACGAGGCGAAATCCACTTCGCCCATAAGCCGCGAAATTCTCGTCACGCGTCTCGATGCGAGAGACGACGACGGTGCGAAGCAAGCAGCACGTTGTCGTGATACATCACTCAACTCGCGTCTCCGTGGATTTTCGTTCGCGAAACGAAGTTAGAATTCGAGTCTGTCGGTCTGCCGAGGATCAGCGGGGCTGCTGCTGCAGCGACGGTCGAGTACGTCCCGAGTACGTGGAGAGGGGGCAGTTCACCGCTGCTCTAATTCACCTAATCTAATCGCGAACTCATGGCGATTAACCGGACGAGTATCGAGCGGCTGATCGAGCGCGGTCCTCCCCGTCGCTTCGACTCCGCTCGCGTGTGTCGTCTCGAATCGATTCACGTCTCCTCTCCCTACGTTTTTTCCGGGTCGTTCGCGTTCACGTCGCTCGCGGCCCGCTCTCGACGTCGCCGTCGTCGTTGCCGTCGTTGTGGTCGAAACGCGAGGTCCTCCTCGCGACCTCGCGTCCTCCTAACGACGATAGCCGCGCGCGCGTCCTCGATCGTTGTCTTCGATCGGCCGTCACGATTTCACCGCGTCACGCGCGATTCGTCGTCGTTCGACGGGAAACACCACCACCGCGTCCTCGTCGTCGGCGCTTCGTAGTCGCGCGTAGGCGCGAAGCGCACCGCCGACGCGCGTTTTCTATCTTTAGAACGTCTCCCGGGGCTCTCCAGCCGGATACTTGACGCGGTGCTTCGGCGTCGGCCGTGTTGCCTATAGCCCAGGCGAGCCGAGACTGAGACGTCCATAACAAGCGTCCCCGAGAATGCCGCGCAGGCGCGCCCGTGTCCCGCGCTCCCGATGTGCGCTCTTCTTCCGCGGTCTCTCCTCTCCTCACCGCTCGCTTCTCTCGCGAGCAATTAATTGACCACTTTCCATTTTTCCGCGACGCCGCGATGCTTTGACCATTCGCGGCCTCCGTACAAAGATTCGCTTCTTCGTTGAATAATGACGTGACTCTTGCGCGCTCCGAAGCTAATGGTAATTAGGGGACAATTGAGAAATTACTTCGGGGAATGCTTATTTCATACAGCGGATATTTATGGTATAGATTCGATATTATGGTTATGAATTTGATATGATTGTGTTACATACAGGGTGTCCCAGATCAACATGGACGAACTTCGTGAGGGGCGTAGAACGGATTGACGTGAACAAAAGAGGCCTCTATTATTTTGCAAACAACACGCATAATTTTGAGTTATTAATTATTAAAAATGACCATGTATGAAGTTTCTTTAATTAATGACTCAAAAAGTTGCGTATTATTTGCAAACTGTTACAGGACTTTTTTGTTCAGAGTGGCCTAATCTACAAGTATATGACAACTATTGTTGCGACAGATTCAAGGTTCGAAGTTCAAGGTTAAATATATTCATGTCTGTCGTTAAGTGTAACAACTGTCATGTACTTGTAGATTAAGCTACTCTGAACGAAAAATCCTTTACCATTTTGCAAATTACGTGCAAATTTTTTAGT